CTGTAGGGCATTTTATGATGAGGAACTCGCTTGAGTCTGAAAGTTTCGAAATGCCTCCAATTTAAAGTTTATCAGCCGCTATTTTATTTCTTTCGTTCTGCCTTAAAAACTTGATAAGATTGAGCAAATTTACAAAAATTGTTTTCTTTAGAGGTCAATAGTAGAGAGAGAAACACTTCTTTTGTAGGATTTTATGGTAAAAAGTTAAATACTTTGTGTGTGAAAGTTTGGAGATGTTGCCAGTTTCTTGGTTTTTTCGGCACTCTGCCTTGAAATGTTGTTTAATTCCTTCAGACCAATAGAGATTGGGACTTTGGCTTTAAAGCATTTTATGAGGAAAAATCGAGTGTTTCAAGTCTGAAAGTGTGCGAATGTTGCCACTTTAGGGTATTTTTCAGCAATTTTTTCGTGTGTCACTTCGATAAAATCCTGATCAATGCAGGGCGATTTTCAAAAACGAATGTAGATCGATGTATTTCCTCGGTTGTATCGGAAAACGACRTAGTTTTTTCCGCAAATGTTCTTTTTTCGGCACTTTTATTTAAAAGTTTGCAAAATACGACTATTAAAAATKGTTGTTGCAAGAACCAATAAAGACATAGACGTTTTCTCTATGGCATTTTATAAGAGAAAGGTTTTTGGCTGTTTCAGGTGTTAAAGTTCCGAAATGTTGCCGGTTTGAGCAATTTTTCCGCAATTTTGTTTCTACAGTTGCTCTGCATTAAAAGAATGTTTAAAAAATAAGAGACGATTTTCAAAAATTGTTTTTCRAAGAACCAATATTYATTCAGACGTTTGCWCTTCGGCKTTTTATGCAAAAATTYGAAATTTCGGAATTCAAAAAAATGTTGGGGAATTATTTACCATTTTTTTGCTTCTCACTTTCTYAAAAGGTTGTTAAGGGTCGACGTTCAAGCTAATTTTGCAGTAGAGAATGAAACGTTTTTTGTATTGACTTTTCTAGAAAAATGCCATTTCAGGTTTGAACGTTTCGAAATGTTGCCACTTTTGCTTTATTTTCTGTSAMTTTTYMTTTTTCGTCACTCTGCTTTAGAAKATTTGCTGTKTACTGMCGGCCGRTTTTCAAAAATCCTTWTCTCGAGAACCAATTTYWTCRCAAAAAGTCGATTATTTCAGGTGTGAAACTTTGTGMGATTTTTTCGCGAATTCTTTTTGTGCYATTTTGCGTAAAAAGTTATTAAATGCGGTTCGATTTTCAAATATTAATTGCGTGAAAACCAATTGATCGTTTGCTTGCTTGCCATTTACGAGCAAAAGTCGTGTGTATTCAACCTGAAAGTTTCGAATGTTGCCACTTTGAGGGATTTTTCTGCAGTTGCTGTGCATTAAAAGGTTGTTCAGAACGGGCTGATTTTCGAAAATTGTTTGCTCAAGAATCAATATTCATTTCCAGACGTTCGCTCTACGGTATTTTATGAGAAAAACTCGATTTTTCAGGGTTGCAAATTTCGAGATGTTGACCGATGTTCAAAAATTAATTTAGCGCGAACCAATAGAGATTGAGATGTTTCTTGTGCCATATTTTATGACAAGGATACAAATATTTCAAATGTAAAAATTTTGAGATGTTGCGAGTTTGCGGAATTTTTCGGAATTTTGTGATACACAAATTAATTTCTCAAGAACCAATGGATACAGAAACGTTTGCTCTATTGCATTGTATGGTAAAAAGTTGCTTCTTTCAGTTACAAAAAATCGCTAATGCAGCAACCCTTGACGTTCTTGAACAAGTTTTGAAATTCGAGCCGTTTTTTAGCAAACGTTTTTGCGAGAATCAAGAGAGATAGAGAGGTTCATTCTGTGGCATTTTATGAGAAAACTTTAGTTGTTTCAGGTGTAAAAGTTTCGAAATGTTGCCACTTTGAGAAATTTTGTTCTGTTTTTTAAGGTTGTTTAAAAAATAAGGAGCGATTAACAAAAATTGTTTTCAGGAATCAGTATAAGATCTACCGCGGGACGTTTGTTGTACCTACCTACGGCATTTTATGGAATAAATGCAGACCGATTTTCAAATTTTAATTCCGTGAGATCGAATTGAGACAGAATTAATTGCTCTCTCTTTGAATGTTGCCACTTTTAGAGATTTTCTGCACAGTTTTCCTAACCTATTTTTGAAGCGTTTTCAAAAAATATTAACCAGACCCTGATCTGGTTGTGACACTTTACAAAGAAATATGGTTATTTTCTGGAAGTTTTCAATTCTTGGTCATCCGCAGGAAAGTTTTTCAAAAATTATGTTTAGTCGACGTGAATATTAAGAAAGTTTGTTTTCTTAATGGAGATTTGTACGTTAAACTCAGTGAAAGTTTTAGCTGAATGTCGTACTCAGGGTGTGGTTATGAAAATATTGAATTTTACTAGAATTTCAAGATTGGAAGAGCAGACTCGATTGTTGTCCTGAAAGTTCCCAAGTCACATTTTTTGTGCAGACTTCCACAGTAAATACCTGGCTTTCATTGCGCTAATGTTCCACAGAAAACATCTGTCCAAGCCGCACAAACGCCATACTTACTTACGTGATTAGTAGTTTTGGGAATTTGAATTCAACAGTTAAGAAAGAGGAAAAAGCACCGCAGAGGATGCAGTGCGAAGGGAAAAAAAGAGCAAAAATTAACTCGTTCAGTTTTATAATACAGAAATCATTCATTCATTCAACTGGCTAACAACACGTTGTACACAAATATTTCATATTAAATGATACAACCTATGTACATCCCTTATTCGCTAGTTCTTAGATGCTAGGTGCTTCTATCGATATCACATGTTTTGTACATCTTGATTTGTTCCAACGAGCAATTAAATTCAGAACATTTTCAGTCGGTTTACAATGCGGTCCATCTGAAATTAAACCGCGAATGGCACGAAACATGAGGTTGATCTATAGGAAGCCGATATGAAGGTGGCGTGAACTGGTGAATAAAGAAAGTGCAAATTTTGAACTGTTGATAGAAGGAATGTTGGACAGTCCGCATGGCAAACCTTACTCTTTCACAAATCGAATAAGCCCGTTGCTACGGTGTACCGGGCGTTTCGCATGTATGGCCTTGCCAAACACCCGGTATCATCAAGACTTTTTATTAGTACTTCAGTGTGTAATACTGGTACCCAGCCAACTTGTTCATGGCGATTGACAGACAGGTACGACGGCTCAGGCCGGACTTCCGAGAAAGCCCCAAGATGGAAAAATGTTTGAAATTGGTTCCGGCCTGTCGGCCTGATGGGCATCCGGCAAAGGGCTTTTTCGGAATCGGCACAGAGATTATTCACTGGGTACCTACCTACCTACCCGGGCCAAAACAAGAAGCCCGATTTCCCTCCGAACCGAAGGAATAACAATCATTAAGAGTACTTTCTAATCACTAAATCAATGTACATTTTTATACAATATTGAACAACAAAGGCGGGCCACGCGAGGTTGCCCTTCTAAAATAGGACTTTGATTTGTTCGTTTAGACGACGAAGATTCAGGGCTCGCCAGCGTACTAGAAAAGGTCCAACTTAGTGTCTTGGTGCAAATTAATTCGATAACCTGAACTGAATTTATTACGGTCTCCTAAAAGCTATGAGTGGCTTAATCACGAAACAATATAATTTTAGTTTGAATTCAGAACTGAGCAAATGCTTAAAGTTGAAGTATATCAATTCGGAAATAACTAAAACCCAACCATGAAACGGAATAAAAAAATACAAACCTAGTGGACAAAAAGGGTAGACAATCAGTGAACGAAACCAAATGGGTTCTGTTTGATGGACTCGATTTTCTCGACATTATTCGATAATTTGCACTGTTGGCATTTTTAGCAGTAATGCAGCTTAGAAGATTTAGCAGTAGAGCTAACGGAAGAGGAAAACCGGAAAAGTTCAGCCAAAAGAAAAAACGGACTTTCCATCAAAAAATGTTTCTCTAAAAGAAAAGAAAACCCGAAACGTTTTTACTGCGTATTTAAGTCGATTGCGAAAAATTTCAAGTGATATTTAAATTAAAATCGAGCCACATCAAACAGAAGTAAATTTTTTTGGGAAAAAGTTATGCTGACCGTCTCTAATTTGCTTAAATTTGACGAAAGCGGAGATGAAAATCCAAAAAACTGTGCGTTTTAACGCTTTATCACATTGACTTTTATTTTTTGCAGGTTTTTGGTCAGACAAATTAGAGAACAGCCAGCCCCAAGCCAGCAGTTGCAAGAGAATGCCAGTCCCATTAACGCGGTAAGTCCTAAGGCAAACCACCCTAGAATGTAAGGCCAGTTTTGATTGCACTAGATAAAACAGTACCCTTAAGGGTAAAGTTTAGTTTAACCATATAAATATTGTGGGTACCTATATTGTGCTCCACGCTTGCCACGCACAGCCATAAAGTGCCCAGAACATTAAAAGAACCATCCAACTCATTTAAACTTGATGCGGAAACAGCATTAAATGAAGAAACTGACCAAATGATTTTATGGTTCCGGTGTAGCAACCACTGGTGTGATCATTGTCTTTATGTATTGGGGTTTTCGAATCAACACTATTGATGGTAAATTATTAAGCTTCGATCAGTAAATTGTCTCCGATTGAATAACAGTAATATAAGGCGGAAAAAAGTTGCGAAAAGCACGAATTACTAGTAAATAGTTCAAGTTTTAATTGTGAAAATTAAGGTCCTGCGAACGTTATGGCGTTGAGTGGTATTGCACCTCATCAGGGAGACGAAGGAACTCTTTCAAATGCCGCCTTAAAATAGTCTCTTTTGTTTAGAGACCGAGGTTCTTCTGCTGCACTTTGAAATTTAAAAAATACGAACATTTTAAAACAAATTATACATCAAATTCAGTTTTTTGTCCCATTCACTTGATGATAACTTGTTTTACTGTCAGTGAGGCTTCAGAAATCTCAGCAAAGAATGGGAATTGAACCCCAGTGTAGAACAGTAGTTACAGTTGTCTTTATCGATTGATTGATCTCTACTAGGATCGGTTACAAGAAAATTGATAAAATTGAAAATTTGGAGGTGGTTTTCTTCAAAATTAAGGTCCTGCGAACGTTATGGCGTTGAGTGGTATTGCACCTCATCAGGGAGACGAAGGAACTCTTTCAAATGCCGCCTTAAAATAGTCTCTTTTGTTTAGAGACCGAGGTTCTTCTGCTGCACTTTGAAATTTAAAAAATACGAACATTTTAAAACAAATTATACATCAAATTCAGTTTTTTGTCCCATTCACTTGATGATAACTTGTTTTACTGTCAGTGAGGCTTCAGAAATCTCAGCAAAGAATGGGAATTGAACCCCAGTGTAGAACAGTAGTTGCAGTTGTCTTGATCGATTGATTGATCTCTACTAGGACCAGTTACAAGAAAATTGATCAAATTGAAAGTTTGGAGGTGGTTTTCTTCAAAATTAAGGTCCTGCGAACGTTATGGCGTTGAGTGGTATTGCACCTCGTCAGGGAAACGAAAGACCTCTTTCAAACAAGGCTTTAGACATGGTCTCTTTTGTTTAGAGGCCATGGCTGCGCCACTTTGAATTTCAAAAAAACGAACATTTTACAATAAGTGATGCATCAAATTTATTTTTTGCCCCATTCATTTGATGATAACTTGTTTGACAGTCAGTTCAGAAATATCAGAAAAGAATGGGAATTGGTCGATTGATCGAGATCTACTAGGACCAGTTACAAGAAAATTGACAAAATTTAGAGTTTGGAGGTGGTTTTCCTTTGAACTTAAGCTGCCTACTTACTAGGTATTGCCGTTCACTTTGCCACAATATAAATCCGTGATGTTGAATTGAGCTGGAGTTGAACCGAATTGAGTTCATACACTGGGCACTTCACAGGGGCGGCAAATCGATGTCGGGTGCCGCAAATGGGGGTTCTCACATGGGCGCCAAGCGGGCGTGGGAGCCCGCGCCCATCGGATCGGCCGACGGATTGAAGATTGGATGTTGCTGTATGTGTTGCGAGCCGTCCGTCGGCAAATACATGTTGATCATCTGCCGCAGGTCCGGTTGCTGTTGCGTGGCGTATTCCCGTTTAATGCTGCCCTGCGAGGGGGGCGGCAATGCCGAATTGGGCGGCGAAACTGGTTCCGACTTGATACTGGAACCAGACGGGCTCTGAGAGGCGCTGGGTTGGTGCATGCCGTATGGCGAATTTTGCGGAATTGAGGCCGTGGGATAGTTGTAGGCGCCGTTCATGTAGTTGTGGTGTTGGATCTGGCTTAGGGAGTCGAAGCGGTGCACATAGTTGGCGTTGACTCCACCATATTGCTGATACGAATTTGGTTCAGACATCATGCCGAAACCGTTAGGGATGTAGGCTTCTGCGCCAGCTGCCTGCTGTAATTGGTACATTTCGCGGGGCACTTGTTGAACCGCGGAGACAGCATTGCGATGGGCGGCCTCCGGTCCGCCGGACATCATAAGATTTGGATCCATGAGGTTTGGATACTGCTGTTTGCCCGAGTCCTTTCTGAGCGTTTTGGCCTTCCTGCGGGGCCTGTACTTGTAGTCCGGATGCTCTTTCATGTGGACTGACCGCAGACGTTTCGCTTCGTCGATAAATGGCCGCTTCTCCACCTCATTGAGCCGTTTCCATTCTGCTCCTAATCGTTTAGAGATCTCAGAATTGTGCATTTTCGGATTCTCTTGGGCCATTTTTCTGCGCTGCCCTCTCGACCACACCATAAAGGCATTCATCGGACGTTTGACGCGCTCATTATTATTCTGAGCCTTGCTCGAATTGTTATTAGCACTCGCAGTGCTGGACACTGTCTGATTCAACTGGCTTTGCAGCAGCTGCTGATGCTGCTGTTGCTGCTGTTGTTGCTGCTGCTGCTGCTGCTGGTGTTGCTGTTGAAGCTGCTGCTGATGCTGCAGCTGAGCTTGCTGGTGATGCAACGGTATATGCACTTGATGAGAAATTGGATGCATACCCGGTTGAGACATCATCGCGTTGTACTCCAAACGCGAATGATTCAATGAGTGTAAAGTTCCATTTTTCAAATCTGCTTCCATCGTCAGCATGTCAATTCACGACGCGCACCACTTCACACTAACGCACAAGAACACCGATTGAATAATAGGAAAAACACTAAAGTCGATTTGTTATTGTTTATGCGGATTCCGGTCGGCATGCGAGCGACTATATAATAGGCCACTACACGTACAACTGATGCGTGAATCTGCACTGAGTTTGAGTTTGTGGACTGGAGCTCGGTCCTCTGTTTGCGTCGGGGCCCCCCACTCTTGCCCGATGATTGACAGGCCCGCCTGCCATCTTTCCGTGCGGCCAATCCGGTGGCGCGAGCGGCAGCATATCCCCTCCTCATTCCGAATGCGCATGATTCGGCGGCGCAGTGCTTCCACCGTCCTAATTATTCGCCCGATTACTAATTATACCTCGCGGGTATTTTTACGGCACGTCGTCGTACCGAGCAATAATAATTAATTAATATAAGCGCATCATTTCATGCTTAAAAATCTCTAATTAATGGGCTGCCGTTCCTGATGGCCAATACCAATTTTTTACATCTTAACACACTTTACCAGCATGAAAAGTCACATTCCCAGCTAATTATCACTGATGAGTGTTTTGACTTTTTTGCCACAATTGCGACCAGAGGATGGCACGCAGTCAAATCGGGTGTTAGTAAAAAACAGTTTGCGAAACACACGTTTGATATTTTTAATAAATCATCGCAAAATGGCAACAAATCTCGTTTAGTCAATAGTTCTCTGAAAATGCGAGTCACTCGTGCTTGCGAAACGTCAGGAGGAAATTCTTTTGCCACGACGCACTAAAAGGCCGAAAAACTTCACCAGTTTCACTAATTTAGCCAAAAGCGTCTGCAAACCATCAAAATTGTAAATGTTTCAATGAAAAAAACATACCTACTTGGCGCTTGTTTGAACTAGTTTGAACCGATTTCAGTTTTGTTTCTACCAACGATGGTTTTACCGAGATTCACTTTCTTAATGCCTTAAAGACTATCGAAATCTTCTAAACCATTTGTTCTTTTGTATTCCCAAATTTATTTTAGATGTTTTGTGCACACATCCAACGTTTGAACGCGTTGATCTGCGCCATTAGAAGATTCCGTCTGTGCGCAAGAAATTGAATATCAGGCAAAAGCATTAAGGACCAATTTCGGTCAACCCTTGGGGTTTTCCTTCTTGGGATTTTCCAATGCTAACTAAGGGAATTGTTCTTATACCTATCAACATATGCATTACAAATTTCGCATAACCGTGTCAATTGTATTATAGCCCATCGATGGCTCCACTTGCGATTGACAATACCCTATTAGTATGAAAGTTTCTACTTGTGAAATTTATAAAAGTCGACATTTCCGATCCTTTGGGTTGTCCAAATGGTTATATTTCAACATTTCAGGTGCTTGAAAACTTGTAACCATTTCTTCATGTCCCTGATAATGAATCATGTTTTTTTGTCATATCTTGGCTACATTTTCCATTTTTTCTTGGCTAATTTGGATATTTCCAAATTGACTCAAATTTATTTTGAGTTAGTATTAGTTTAGGTAAGTATTTCGATTTCAAGTTGAATTGATTTTCGGCTAGTTTGGGTTTATTTTACTTAATTTGAATATTTTTTCGGGTTGATTCGAATTTAAATTGAGTTGGTGTCCCTTTATTTAAATTCTTTGTCGTTGATCTGAATTTATTTTCACTTCTTTTCGACGCTTTGTTTTGTTCCCTGTTCATTTCACATGAACAAGATTTGTAATATTAGAAAATTCCTTCACTGTACAGGAAATGGAATACCCCAAAAGGGCATTAGAAAGTAATATCGATCAATCCTTTGAGTGTCCTTGGGATGTTCAAAAATCGAGCATCCGGTAGTTAAGGCATTGACTGTCATTGAATGTCAACCAATTGTCTTCCATGCGCTTGAACAGGAAATCGACAAAACGTTATTTCGAGAATTTGGTTAATGCAGTGACGTAGACATCTTAACTCATCCATCCACCTGTTCCAAATCCACTTTTTTGCCATCCTTTGGTTTGTTTTCAATTTTTTTACATTAATTTCGGTTTTTTCACGTTGGTTCCAATTTTTTCAGTTAGTTTGAGTTCAATTTGAATTTATTTGATTTCATTTGGGTTTAGTTCAACATTTTTTTGGGTCATTGGTAAATTCATTTTGATTTATCGGCGCTAATTTGGATTTTTGTCGGATTGATTTGAGTTTTCCTTGGGTGTCGGTGTATTTAGATTGTTTGAAATGGATCTAAATTGTTTATTTTCGATTATTTTCAACACTTAAATGGCTTAATTTGCGTTTGTGCCAATTTTTTTAAGCATCAGTTTGGATTGACTTTGATTTATCGGGGTTAGTTTGAATTATGTTTACATTTATTTAATTTTAGATTGGCTTAATTTAGGCATTTTCACTTTTCGCCGGATCATTTGGCTTAATTTGGGTTTATTTCAATTTGTTTGACTGTCAATTCGAATTTATTTTAGAATTATTTAGACTTTTTCGAGTTTATTTGCAGTTATTTTTGCTTAATTTGAAAGTTTTCAATATTCAATCTGTCAACCATTTCCTATTCTTTTGGTTAGTTTAAATTTACTTTATTTTTTTTAGGGTTGAGTTGAATTCGCTTTGAGTTAGGTCGGTTTTATTTAAATTGGTTAAGGTTGCTTAATTTCGACACTACTTTTTTGAGGATTAGTTTGGATGTCTTCTGATTTACGGGGTTAATTTGAATTATTTTCGGGTTTACTTAAATTTAGTTTAGCTTAATTTAGACATTGTCATGTTGGCTTAATTTGGGTGTGTTTAAATTATTTTTGGCGGGCAGCTTGATTTTATTTTAGATTTATTTGGATTTTTCGCGGTTAATTTAGATTTCTTTGAGTTTATTTGAATTTATTGTTGCTAAATGGCAGTTAAACATCTCGAATCGACTAGTGAAAAAAATTGGAAGCAGTTAAAATTTTCAAATTAACTTGAAAAGTGATTAAAAATCTCGATTTAGTTATTGAAAAAATTTGAAAACAGTTGAAAAGCTCGAATTGACGACTACAAATTTTAGAAGCAGTTAAAAATTTCGATTTAGCAACTAAGAAATTTTAAGAGGCAGTCAAAAATCTCGATTTAACTAGTGAAAAATTTTAGAAGCAGGTAAAAATATACAAACTTTTTGGCTTAATTTCGGTTTACTTGCGCTCCTGCCATGCACTTTTTTAAATAGTCGTTTATGCTCAAATTTGGAAAGTGAGTTTTCCATTAAGTTCTGTATCATTTCTGCGTGTAGGTAAGTGTGTTGACTGCATGTTTTTTTATTATTGAGGTCTTTCCTTCTGGTCGGTCTTGAGGCCTTTATTTGCCTAAGGTTTACCTATTTTTGAAAAAACTATAAATAATGCATATTCTATTCGTTTTTGATACATTAAAATTAAAATTCCCATTTGTATGTGTCGATTTTCCCTATTTAAAGGCTTCATTGAACGCTGATAAGGATGAACAGACCTAAATCACACAAGAAAACCGATGAGACGAAACCCTGACAAAAAATTGACCGATTAAAACACAAATCAAGTCAGAGGGAAACTTACTGAACGCAAAAAACTGAAATAATCCCAGACTATCCGAACTTTTCTAGATCAAAATCTAACGACACCCAAACTTGGCCAAATACCTAAGTCGAAACGGGCTGCAAATTAGCTAAAAACGAATCGAAATAAATTAAAATGAGCAAAAAGTAATCAAAAAGAAATCGAAAAGAACCTGCAGATTTTACTTTGAATTTCCATTGTCCTGAAAAGACAGTTTAAAGGCTTAATAAATTTTAGTAAGTACGGATGGTAGGATAGAACCAGCGTAGGCGGTTTAAAACTGTTTTTGCAGTATTGGTCAAAATGGGGATATTGCCTGAGGAACACCTGGGCTATTCTGTGCAACACCAATCCATCTTCATCTTGACTCAATAATGTCATACCTGATCTATGGGTTTGGGTGGCGAGGTCGTTCCGACACGGCCCCATGCAGTGCGGAAGCACAGGACATTTTTCAAAACGGCTGGGTTTCTTTTTTTTTGTACGTCTGAAACTCTACTAGAAGAGAAAACGACCATGAACGTTTCGGTATCAACTTTACTGCACTTTTGTGTAAATTTTCCTGCTCACGAACCGAGAAATCAAATGTCAGTCAAAACATAACACGGCCGAGTGACAATCCGACAAGGTTCTAACGGCAGGTACAGCAGCAGGATAATGAGTACCCCAGTTAGCTGCAATCAGCGCCTCTGACGGTTGCAGGAAACCAACAGGCGCGTCACTTGATTGTCCAAGTTTGACATTAGGAAATCTCCTGTCAGGAATGGTTGCTCGTTAACGCGGTTCATTAATAGTGCGGGCCCAGCAATTTGTCAGATGTTGGGTACCGAACCAGGTGCAGGCAGAGCGAAACAGTGCACATCCATAACAAATTGGAATTCTTGCGATCGACGCCAAACAGTCTGAGAATCGGAGCGGCCCGCGGCCCCATCGAGGCTCGCCCGGGTACCTTGAGAGCATCAATTTTCTCTCGTCCGCCCAACCTGGATCCACCGGGGTCCACCTAGTGATGGGAACAATCGAATTAATCACTAGTCGCACCAAGATAATTGAGGTAACATTCGCAAAGAGTGAGAGAAAGAGAAACTAAATATGCATTTGGTGAGATCAAAGAGAGATGTCATGCTTCGAAGASGAAGCATGATGGGGTGACCCACTTGGRAAGGTGTTTTCGGTGGATGGATTGCAAAAAAAACTGATTTTGTTGGCCATTTTCTGCCCTGYGCGGACTAAAAAGTATACTTTGTGGTTAGTTTTCACATTATGCTCTTCAGAAGATCAAATGTGGAATTGCGAATTATGCTCCTCAAAACTTACAATGGCATAAAAAACAATGCTTTCTCCTGCTGGAAGGAGGCCATATAAAAACGGTGTTTTTCGTCAAGCCATCACTATCATTGCAGCATATTTGTGGTTAGTTTGCGAGTTATGCTCTTCAAAACTTGCAATGGATTCCAATAGTGAGCATACAAAAAGGATGYTTTTCTTGAGAYGWTGGCCRAAGAAAAACACTTTTTTTSMAAGCCAGTGACCGAAAACGCCACTGTTTTCTTTACAGTCAATTTGCGGTTAGTTTTCACATTATGCTCTTCAGAAGTTCTAATGTATAAGAACGTCTAACGTGCATAAGAAGCATCTTTCTTGTGCAGACCCGGAATTAGTTCAATCTTTCATACATATGAGAAAAGCAAGTTACGTTGTTGGCAATGGCGTT